GACAAGAGCTGTTTTGCTTGGATAGTGAGAGAGAGGAGTTAGTGCATATTAAATCATATGGGCATAAATACTATGGATATTTCTTATACATGCAGTGTTAGAATTCGAGGTCATCCACTTCGAAATAAAACGTAGGGAACTTTAAAACTGATAGCAGCACTTCTATGCTTCTACTGCAAACATTTGTGGTTACCCAGCTTGGATAATTTTAAAAGGGTATGGGTTAGATCCGTGATGGCGAACCTATGGCATGCATGCCACAGGTGGAACGCAGAGCCATATCTGTGGGCACACGAGCGTTGCCCTAGCTCAGCTCCAGTGCGCATGCGCACGCTGGCCAGCTGATTTTTGGGCTTTCCGGGCCCACCAGAAGTCAGGAAACAGGCCATTTCCAGCCTCCGAAGGACCTGTGGGGGGGTGGGGAAGGCAGTTTTTGCCCTCCTCAGGCTCCAAGAAAGCCTCTGGAGCCTGGGGAGGGTGAAAAACAGGCCTACCGGACCCACCATGCCATCGTATGCCAAAAGCGTGGGGAGCGTGGGAGGGTCACACATGCATGCACAGGGGGTGGGGAGCATTGAATTATGGGTGTGGACACACACACACGCATGACCCCCCTAGTGCTCCCCCCGCTTTTGGCACACGACGGTAAAAAGGTTAGACATCACTGGGTTAGATAATAATTGCTCCTAATATGCATGAGTACTTATTATTTACCTCCTGAACCATAAGTAATGTGGTAAAACCATGTTTATTTGGTAAGTAGCACAATTTCATTTAAATACTGCACCTCAGGTGGATAAATATTATCTCAGTGCTACCACCCCAAAATAACTTTCTTTTATTGATATTCTCTTATAAGCTCTTTTCCTGTGGCACATACCTTAGGGCATACATAGTGTGTGCTATGCTCTCATTTACTCAACTCAAAGAATTAAAACTTTATTGAACAATAATTGTATGAATTGAAAATATGGGATGCAAGTTGCTGTTTAGAGATACAAAATTCTGTGCTTACTCAAAAGTTGAGTTTATTAGGGCCATTTGTCTTCCCGTTTTAATATTGACTGTCTCCTTTTCCTGCCCCTCATACGTCTCCCACTTCTAGCTTTATGTCCCACCAGCCTTATAAGGAATTGCTACATTAACCCTCTGCTCACCTTAGTAGAAAGCGAGTCATTTACCATTTCATCAGAGGCAGTACGCTGTATTTACTGGTTTTTGGGGATCAATAATAAGAGGGTCAGTATCCTCTTTTCCAGATTTGTGAGGTTCCCATCACACATGAAGGTTAGAATGGATAGGCCTAAGGCTTCATTTACCAAGACTAATGTCCCTACATTATCACCCTTGAAAAATTATACCAAGGTTGAGGCAAATCTTGGTACAATATCAACTGAGCAGTATCCACAGCAGTAACTTAATTATCATTTGGGATCAAGGGCAAGTGAACTGAGCCATACACCAAATCTGTGTCGTTTCTTTCATCCTTAATATCTTTTCACTGCCATTTATTGTTCTAGATGAAACACTATCTCACATACCTGCAAAATAAAAAATGACAATCACCTGCAAGCAAACATACAAACACACACACAATATTATTGGAAGCTCCCTAGATTCATATTTAATTATGAGTTTCATTATGAAAAATAAGAGCGAACAGTTATGTGCAAAAATTAGTAAAAAGCTAAGAAAGATCCTCGTGCCCAACCTAGTGCATCCATGAAATGTTGGGTTAAACCAGATTTCTAGAATCAAAGTTGAAGGTTGGATTCCATATGAGTATACAAATGCTCTCATATAATTTTCTACTACTGTATTGCATTTTCCTTTTGCTATCCACTGTTCAACTTGGCAGTAAGAAAGGTAACTGCAAAATGTACCACTCCCTTTTATTGAGTTGGCAGCATGGCAGTGTTTCAGTCAAGAACAACTTTTCACATCAGATTAGGAAATTAGCGCTGTAGCACTAAATGAGTTTACCTTACTGAAATCATTTGAAATAAATGAGGGCAGGCCTTAAGTGGATTTTGTATTGCAGCTTTAAACAATTCGTAACAATGGTTCTCCATCTCCCCCATGTGGTCACACATTGTAAGATCTCAGCAGATCTATAATCCGTTTTAGGCAATTTGAACCTCTCCACCTTTCTGCCAATGCTTCTTGAAATTCTTTTCATTTGCAACCACAAACTGGGGAGGGGGACCATTTTATCCAGTTTCTCATTTTACAATAATTGGGAAGAGTGGCAGGCTTTACTTTAAGCAGTGATAGTAGCAGAATTTGTTTTCTTCTCACTTTTTGCAGTTACCACAAATAAACCAGGAGAAGTCACCACAAATAAATCTAAAGAAGTCAAGCTGTTTCATAGGTAATCCTCAACTGATAACCATTTGCTTAATGACTGTTCAGTTACAATGGTGCTAAAGAGATTCTTACACCTATCCTTGCACTTTGACAGTTTTGCGGTGTCTCTGCACCGATTAAAATTTGGGTGCTTGGCAACCAAGTATGCATTTGCAAATGTTGCTGTGTTCCAGGATCACATGAGAACATCCTTTGTGACCTTTTCAGGGGGTTTCCAAGAAGCAAAGTCAATGAGGGAAGCTGGATTTGCTTGTCAACTTGTGTGATTTGCTTAATGACCCTGATCTGCTTAATGACCACAGCAAAAAAAGATAAAACTTGATGCTTCCGGGTCACATGACTTAGGGATGGACATTCTGGTCCTAATTGTGGTCATGATTTGAGGGCTACCTTTTGTGGTGGTTGTAGAGTACAGCCCTCAACTTAATAACCATTTGTTTTAAGTTACAATGGCACTGAAAAAGAAAAAAACTTACGACCTGATCCTGACACTTACGATGGTCACGGCGTTTCCCCCAGTCACGTGATCAAAATTCAGATGCTTGGCACAACATGTCTTTGCAACAGTTGCAGCATCCCGGGATTGTGATTGCCATTGGAATCTTCCCAGCTGGCTTTTGACAAGCAAAGTCAATGGGGGAAAGCCAGATTTGCATTAGCAACCAGGGGATTCATTTAATATCTGCAGTGATTTGCTTAATAGCTGTGGCAGAAAAAGTTATAAAATCAGGTGTGACTCACTTTACGACCACCTTGGTCAGCAATGGAAATTCCACTCTGAATTGTGGTTGTAAGTGGAGGACTCCCTATACAGGTAGTCCTTGACTTACAACAAACTTAGGGGTCCCCAACCCCTGGTATATGGACTGGCACCAGTCCAAGGCATGCCAGAAATTGGGCTGCACAAACAAGCGAAGCCCCATCTGTGGGATACAGGCAGCATGCAAAACCAGGCTCCCTCAAGTCCATGGAATAACCTCTCCAGGAAACCGGTCACTGGTGCCCAAAAGGTTGGGGTTTACTTTTAGACCACTTTACCAATAAGGAGGATTATCCCACTGAGAAATTCAGGCTTGGCAAATTACAATCCTGGATTTTTGAAACTCAGTTGAATTTCAAAAATTCAGAAACTATATTTAGGAAATGTTCCTAAAATGAGAGTAATTCACAAAAACCAGGATGATCTATCATGTCTGCCGCCAATCTTATGAATTGTAGCCAGCCATAACTGAACTAGACCATCTTTTATAAAACTAGTAAAATAAACGACTTCATTCCTAATATATGGATCTAATTATTACTGTGATAAAAAGGAATGGCTCCAATTTTAACTAGGTTTATAAAGGAGATTTTCATCAGATGGAGGGCCCATTTGTCTAGTTGCAAAGTGCAGATAGACTGTATACATCATTCTTTCACATACAACACCCACTATAAACCCGACCGGCTATTTACAAGCTTTCATGATTCTGATTCTGCTATACAATAATTAAGAAAAACATTTTTTTTCTTTTTACAATCCTGTAATCCCTTGCTTTGCGATGGAGTTGGGGCGACTGAATGGAGCTGAGCATTTATTGGCTGGATGCCCTTCCTGATGCCAAGTGGAGCTTGCAGCAGATATTTTTTCTTGCTATAGAAACATCTGCAACTGCCTAGGATTGAACTTCTCAACCTTCTGAGTGGGAGGCAAGTGTCTTCAGAAAAACATTAATTTTAAAAATTAATTCTGCATTAACAGATTATTAAGGAATATTTCAGTTTCCTAAATTAATTTTATCCACTGCTTTTATCATCTAGATTATTATAAATAAGGTGCTATTTGACAGGATGAAATTACTTTTCACTAATTTCACAAGCAATGTTATTCTACATTGTTAAGCTTACACAGTAAAATAAAGTTTTAGCAACAGATATTTCCGAATTAATACCCATCTATATCTTTAATTCATCTCATCCCAATTTTGTAGAATTAAAGCTGCTGTCATAAGGGCTACTCAATCGAGGGCGGTTCTACTGGCGTACTGGATAACCAGCTCCTCGATCGCGGCAATCAGCTGTAAGGGGGAAACACCATTTCCTTAAAGGCGCTAATTCAAACTTAAAAGCCACAGCCAGCGTCCCAGCCGGGAAACGCCTGTTCACGCCTCTGTCAATTGAAGCACAGATCGTAGCCCTCAGCCTACCACTCCTTAAAATTAACAATTTTAACTAAATAGTCGCCAAATTACACAAGACACAAGGCACTCAAGTCTAGTCACCAGCGACTGAGTGAAAAGACTGACCATGCGCAGGAGGAGGCGGAACCAAGCTGTGGAGGAAAATTTGATTGGCACTCAGTCTGGCTAATGGCGAAGAGGAAATCTCAATGAGTGGAGTGTCGGAACAACGAGGAGGAAAAGATGGTACTTAAGTCTGTATGAATGGTTAAGATTTTTGGTCAAAATATAAGAATGAAGTCTGTCACAAGCTTCTGTCCCAACACTTTTCCTAAATATTCTAAATTTATGACATTTATGATATGGATTCACATATTGCAATATTTGATGTATGTGCAGAATTGATTTTGAAACCCAGCTCTTGATGGGAATAATGTTTCCAAAGTACAAATATTACACAAGTAACACACTTGCTATGAATACAAAAACAATTTTTTAATCTCTAAAATAAAAAAGAGGATGCCTGGCTATTTAAAAAAGAGAAAATAGGCAAAAGGTTAATTGTAACTCACGAATTTACCTTGTCCCATTTGTACTTAGTCTGGACCAAAATATTAATCACTTTATTGAAGTGCAGACTACCCTTGCATTTGCCAAAATTTAACACTTAGCAACTGCAAAATAATTCAATAATTCAATATACAATAGAAATAAAATTCTAAAGTCAAAAGTTCATACAGGCAACCATAGTCTCCAAAACTTTACAATGTAGACTGTGAAAGCTCAATAGGCATATCACAGACCAAGTCTCAAATAGTGCACAAGATGCTGGAGAATGAGAATGCCAAAACAGAAAACTTAAATGCCGAGAAAGAAACAAATTAATGTTAATGTACACATAACCACCAAAAGTCAGAAGATAATATTTAAAGGATTGTTCACAGGAAAACTGTCATGAGAAAGTGTCTACGTGTATATATTTATCATAGATTTACACACAATATTATTTAAATCCTATTACTCCTTTTTTCTTGTAAAGATAAACTATATTTTGAGGGAAAGAAGGGAGGCTCACTTCTGAATTTACTGGAAATAATGAGATGCAACCTCAGAATACTTAAATTAAGTCAATAAGAAGTCATGAATGTAAACAGTGTTTTAAAAATAATTGCTTAATTTGGGCAAAAGTGGTGGAGAATAATTTATGCCCAAAGAAAACAGCAGAAGGGGTTTGCCAGGAATGATAATCAATGGAAATATATCATTATAGGAAAAAAAGTCCTTCTGGTCTACTTTGAACCATACCGTAATACTTCAGCTGGAAAAGTAGAGACACAAAGATAAGATTTTTAATTTTTTTTTTAAAATCAATGGACTAAAAGGGAATGTGTGCACGCACATGTATTAACACAGATATATATATTCCAGTGAACATATATAAGGTAGTAATATTCATGTATTTCAATCTCACAAATAATGCAGGTGGAAATAGAGACTACCTAAAAAGGTAAAAAAATGCCAGGTAGTACTCTCACTCAATCAGAAGGGGATGCAAATTCACATGCTCTGCCACTATATAAAATAGAAGGTAGTATACCCCAATTTTCATACCCATTTCCTGCCAACTCGCTTCATTTAGGAAGATTAAGTGATAATAGGAAAGACTGTGCAGGACCTACAAATCAATTACCTAGACATGGTCTTCCTGTTCATTATGAAGATTGTAGATTAAACAAGCTACTGAGCAAATGACAGTAAGTCTTATGAAATTCTGCTTCATTTGAAGTAGAACATTTGTTAGCTGGTTTTAAACAGGAATAGTTTTAAAGGTGGGGTACATAAAGTGGCTACTATTTTATGGTACTCTTAACAAATGTGGATATTGACAGTTCTCCATTTTTACATGCACAGGGAAAGAAATAATCTAATATTATCAGAACTGATTATACTTCTTTCTTTTCTAAAGAAAACATGCAACCAAATCAACTTAAGTAGAATTCTCTCCTATGTTCTAGAAATTTATCAGCCAGAAGACAATAGAAATCTTAAGAGAACAGACGCCTCTAAAACACCTAATCCAATATCTAAGCTTTAGGACGGTTATAAAGGGAAGAAATAAGAGAGCTGACACTACCAAGAATAAAATATGCCTCAGAGAAGGTTCACCTACAAACACTACTTCCACTCGATAGTAAAAATGCAGCTTCTGGGTTCTCTCAATTTATTTCTGTCTGTCAGAATGCCATAAAGAACAAAAATTAAGATCCTCCATCACCACATCAAATGATTTCTCATTAACATTTTAACATAAAAAACTTGGTATACACATAGGTTCAAATACATTACAGTTTCCAGAAAAAGAATGCCAGGAACAAAAAGAGTGAAGCTTTAGGGGGGCACCACTATTTGTACCAGAGTCCCCTCCTTCTGAAGTTGATTATGTGTACTACTAACAGAAAAAAAATTACCGAACAGACCACCAGTTGCTCCAAAGCCAACATCTGCTGAAATACAAAGTAGTTATGAATGGCAAAATGGAGGACTTAAGAAACGGCACACATACCCTATTAATTCCAGCAGGGGCAAGATGAATACAATGTAACACCCCATTCTAAGCAAGGATAGTTAGTCTGTTAGTTAGTCATTACACCCATTCCATGTCTCATAGATAACAAGCCTCGTGTTATCATGAATTAAAGAGCTTTCTTCCTAGGGTCGATCTCCTCTGGCTGTTCCTGTGTTGTAGGACTCCTTTCTGCTTCTTCTAGACAGAAGGGAAGGATGGGCTCAAGATGGAATCCCAGCAAATGCCAAGCCTTGATGGGTCCCGAGAGAACCCCACATCCCACCCACCCCCATCTGCTATTACAGTAAGAGATTACACAATGAAAACTACTCTAAAGGACCGAGCAAATGCCAAGTAGTAATGATGTCCCTTCTAAATCCTTTAGCCAATAGTTGGTTCTGGATCAGCTAAACCTGTACACTGCAGGCCAGGAGGATCTCTCTTAGTCAGTGGAACTGTAATATCGTAGCAGGCCGGCAAAAGGGTTCACTTTTGAGCCACGAGCAATTCAGAGACAGCACAGCACTTTTGCTCTAGAGGTCCTGGCTGAAACAGCTCTGGCCATCAGGGCCGGTGGTTTCCTCTCGTGTGTACAGTTGTTTCTGGTATCGTGCTGTTACAGGAATGCCTCCTGGTATGCTGGGGAGTGGGGAAGGGAAGGAACAATGTTAGCTCAGTCTATAAAATGTACATATCTGCCTCCTGGAAGTTTATCTGTCTCCTGCTTAAATCAAGAACTAAAAGATCTTGAAAAATCTCACAAGATTCCAGAAGAAGCCACTTCAAAAGAGCACATGCAATTTCATGTTAAAAAATTGTTCTACATATTATAAGTGGGACTGTGATAAAATGAGCATAGATGTACCCGAGAAGAAATATTGCGAACTTTTGGCGGAAAGCCTCTTCAACCCAACTAAAGCTATAACCAGAAACTTTTAAATTTGCATGTAACAGCTTGATATTTAGCGGACAGGATTTGTCAGCAAAGCTGAACAATTGCCACAAGCTTATAAATTTGGCTGATCGGTGCATTACCAGCACTTTAATTTATGAAATATATTATATTGTGAAAGAAGTTGTTTTTAATCACTTTATCTAAAACCAACTGTAGTGTTCAATATGTTATGGAATTAACTCAATAATTTGGATAATCCTTCAAAAAGAGATAATAAATAATAACAACCTGATCTATAGTATATATTAGGACAGAACAGAATTTCTTGCCTTCAACAGTCAGAAAAAGCAATAGGATACTATCCTCAGCAGCATTTTCTATGGCAGAATGAACAACCTTTGTGTAGTTATTCAGTCCTGAAACTTTTTTTTGGCATAAGAACTTCAATAGCGATGTGAAGTAGCTAAACCATGTCACTTAACTGAACAAAAATAGGATTTCTGGCCTTTGCAGGAAAGTGGGGTGTTTTTTTTTAAAAAAAAGTTACATTGATTGCTTAATTAGCAAGCCTAAAACAATACAAAAAAAAGGCATGCAGTTGGTTTCTAGTAGGAAACTGCCAAATTTCAATAGCACAACAGAAGGGTTATGGGGATCCAAAAAGGAGTATGCTTATGGTTCTTTGATTTTTTTTTCTCCACTTAGGTTTCACAGAAAGTGTACACCAACAGAGTTTTCATAAAATGTGATTTCCTCAATTAAGTGGCTTGCCATTAATTAATGTTATTATTTCTTTAGTTCTATGTGAAATATTCTAAAATATTTCTGACCAAATAAGAAGCTCTCCCATTGGCTGATACAATTAGAACACCAAAACTATTCAACTGATTTGTTCTGAGACAACTTGCTTCAGATGATTAAAAATGGATTCACTCAGGGAAACTGAAGACATTTATTATTGACATATTCATGCAGTGTGCTTCCACCACACAGGCCTGAGCAATAGCAGTTTCTCTACTTTACAGGTAGTCCTTGACTTACAGTGGCAATTGGGACCAAAAATTCAGTGACTAAGCAATGCAGGGTGACATCATGTGACTGCATTGCTCAGCAACAGCAATTCCTGCAGTCCCTGTTGCTATTGTTGTGAGCACCTCTTCAAAACTTTCTGCTGGCTTCCAACAACCACAGTGGGGATTTCAGCAGGAAGCTGCAAGTCCCAAGCAGCTCCCAAGCACGCTAACAGGCAAATAAATGGCTACTGCCCAGTGAGAGAGGAAGCAAGGGATTCACGGGTGGCTGGGGAGATGCGGCAGGAGTATGAGGCTCAGAGAGGCTGCATAAGGTTGCATGAATTGTGGGGGCAGAAGGATGCAAGTGCAACAGGGCTTGGGGTGGCTGCACAAATGTCCATCGAGACAGTGCAAGTGTGAAGCTTGGGAAGGCTGCACAACCAGCAGAAGAGGTGCGATATGAATGCAATGGGACTTGGGATAACCACATGTGAGGAGTGTGCATGATTGGTCAGGTACAGTAAGTACAGTAAGCAACACTTGAGCATCCCAAAGGCAGAGGAGGGTTAGGAGGCAAGCAAAAGCCAAAGGTGTGAACCTAGGTATCTCTTATCTCCTTCAAGCCAGAAAGCACAGTCCCAGTCCCATGACTTCCCTTTAGTGACCACTTGGCTAAATTAGGGTTGTTGAGTGAGGACTACACTATCTCTACTCTGTCAAATGGCTAGATTATTAGTATCGCCATTCCTGTGCTTAAATTTGATCCAGAGCATTGGGAACAAATTTGGGGTAGGCACAAAGGATGGTGTGACAACAGAAATTCAATTCAGAGAATAAAGAAACATCAGTTTATTGCTGAATGTACTGGTATTTTCTCACTGTGCTTATTTGCCCTTGTACATATTTTGGCAACTTGCAGATACATAAATCATCAAACATAAATAAAACACCCAGATTTTTAAAAGAAAAACCACTCTTATCAGCAGAGTGAAGAACAACAATTTAAACCAGAAAATATTGAAGTTATCTGAAAGAATAATGAGGCAAATGTAACCTGCCCATTAAGAATAATTTTTTTTTCTGACTGCTTCATAATTTGTTTTTCTATGGGGTTTGGCATAGATGGGCTAAGGCAGAGTAAAGGATATCAAAGGATAGAGTAAATAGCAAAATGCCTAAATTTCCATTCTCAGCATCATAATTATGGTTGCTAGTCACGAGGAACATTTTTTTAGGAATATTAAACTATGTGGCTTTCTAAAAGGAAAGCATATTAATTCAATTTAATAGAGGGATGCAAAACTTTATTACCACCAAGCATTATATATCACTAAACATTAACACAATTCAGTGGTCACGTCTGAAAATTACATCCGTTATTTTAGATAAAAAAAAATAAAGCACTTACTGATTCTTGTGTTTGAAGCCACTGATATGAGCTTGATACTGCTCTATAGAATTCAGTACTATGTTACAGTCATTGCAGGGATATCCCTTTGCAGCTGAAAATATCACAAAATTTGAGCATCAAATTAGCTGAATTAAAGAGCCAAGTCGATATAATTAACCATAAAGAGGCATTCACAATGACTATGTACTGTGATGCTAGGAATTCTAAGCAGTGTCATTGTCAGTTTAATTTATACAACAGAGCAGATTTATGGTCATATATCCAACTTTCCTATTTTTTAATTATAGCATTTGCAGGGAGTTCAAAACTTAATTTGAACATTAATGAAGTGCTGTTTTCAGGATTTAAATGTATGCTTTCAAACAAAACAATTGTTACTGCGGTATACATGGGTGTGTTCAATTTGGAAAGAGGCATCTTGAGAGGAGATTAACATTATTGCCTTTCAAAGAGCTGCTCTGAGCCCACCATGAATGCAATGGTATTAAAAAATAATAATAATGGGAGTTCTGATCACTGATCTCCTGAAGCTTGATTCTTTATGAAAACTGTAGAACTCCGGCCACAGAGCTATATTTTTGCATTACTCTCTTTCTCAGACCCTTAAACTATACCAGAAGGAAAGTGAACATTTGTTGCTGTTAAAAAACTATTAAATGGAATGTGACACAAACACACTGTTCCAAATTGTAGTATATTTTGCAATTCATCTGTTTCTGGTTAATTAAGTTATGTTAGAAATATTTTCCTTGGTAAGAACTGCAAGCAACATATTCAACTGAATACTTTGCCATGTAGTTTTTACTGAATGTTTGAAAAAGGCCAAAAAAGACACATCTGTCAGATTATCTGGGAATTATAATAATTTTAAAGGCAAGAAATATATAAAGGTCCTCTTCCCATTCCAGAGGAAAAGAATGAAGAATGGTGACAATCAACAGATAAGAGCCTTGGTGGCGCAGCAGACTAAAGTGCTGTTAAGTAGCACCAGCTGCCTGCAATTACTGCAAGTTCAAATCTCACCAGGCTCAAGGTTGACTCAGCCTTCCATCCTTTCGAGGTAGGTAAAATGAAGACCCGGATTGTGGGGGCAATAAGCTGACTTTGTATAAAAAAGAACACCACTTGGGGGGGCCCGAAAGTTCTACTAAGCAGGTATATACAAAAGTATGAAGGCTATTGCTTAACGCATTGTAAGCCGCCCTGAGTCTCCAGAGAAAGGACGGCATATAAATCAAACAAACAAACAAACAAACAAATAAATAAATAAATAAAAATGTTGATTCTTAAAACATCTACAAAAATAATTAAAATGTATGTTTCTGAATGATTCTTTATAATCAACAGAATCAGCTATTTTTAAAATCAACAGGATGGAAGTTGCAGATTGGACAATTACCTAAAATTCTCATTATGGAAGCTTTTAAATAATGCTTCTCTGGGTTGCTATTTCCCTTGCTATGAACCCCAATAACACCCAATTATGACTCTATCTTATCTATTTTCCATCCATCCAATCCAACCCTCCATCCAGGATTATTGTTGCCAAGCAATGCGGTCATGTGACATCTTGCTTTATGACATCATTCAGTGACAGAAATTCCAGTCTTAACTGCCTTCATAAATCAAGTGCTAGCTATACTTAAAATGAAAAGAGGGATAAATGAAGATAAATATTTGGGAAGAAGATGTTTGTGGTATTACTGGCACTCACAAGATTGAGTAGTCATAAGTCAAGAACTACCTGTAAAAACAAACACTTAATGGATAGTTAGAATGATAATTCCATCACAGATCTCTGCAAAGCAAGAAGGGAGTTGCAGGAATAACAATAAATGAATCAGAATCTTCAACTTGAAGTAAGATGAACTGCACATACAGAGGCACAAAAATGGGCAATATGGGAGGATATATTTGGGTTCGTATCAGATAAGAGGAGCAACAAATGGAAGTTAAGCTCTCTGCCTGGAAATATTTCAGGATGGGGTAGATGAGAATCATTGTCTAAAGTACGTTCCTATGAAACGTCAATATTATACTAGATAGTTAATAGGAGGCTACAGCAAACCTTTTGGAAGAATCCTCCAAATTATAGAATTAAATTGAAGCTCCGTTCACAAATCTATTGTTTTATTTCCAGTTATTTTTAAACATTTCTTTAAAAGGATATTTTTACCACACTGATATTATTTTGAGAGGTCTATCTTTTTGGTCCATATATGATTTTCCTATTCATTTTGATTCAAGTGGTCACATGGCCAGACTATCAGGATACTCTGTTTTTATATTGATAGTCTCATGTGGCTGCCAAGAATTTCTTATCCAAATTACTAACAAGTTCTATAATCTGTTTTTAAAAAGTGTATTTTGCTAACTGCTAATTCTTCATTTACTTGTTTTATTTTACTTACAACTCATGAAGTTATTTTATTTTACTTACAATCATTTTGCTTAATTCTGAATTCTATTTTATCGCTAAACTACCAAATGTTATCCTTATTTTGACATGCTTTCTACTCACAGTAATGGTATGGATCATTTGTATCACTGTCAACATTTAAATTTCCCACTTTTTATTTATTCGTTTTGGATACATTGCATATGATTCCTCTTCATTTTCTTTCTAACAAAAACCTTCCACACTAGATTGTAGCACTATAAACAATGAAACCATATTTTTACAGCTCATGAAAAATTAAGAATTACCATGTTTCCCCCAAAATAAGACCCTTATATTTTTTTGAACCCTGAAATAAGCGCTTGGCCTTATTGCCATGCGCTCAAAAGCCCAATTGGGCTTATTATCAGGGGATGTCTCATTTTGGGGGAAACAGGGTAGTTGTAGAAATTCCCCCACCCATCGTTGCCTCTCTTAGCATTGGCCTCAATTCACTTGCTCTCCTTTTAGTGTCCAAGATTTAGATTTGGGAGAGTTTTAAAGACATTTGTGAGAAACTGAGATGCTTCTTTTCCCAAGCCCAGAATTTTCAGGATGTCTCTTCTAATTCTGTCCTCATCTAGAAGGAGCAGTTCCACATGAATATAACCACTGTGAAAAGTAGAAGAGTATATTTTGTTTCCAATTACATAAAACAGGTAGTCCTTGACTTACAACAGTTCATTTAGTGATCATTCAAAGTTACAATGGCACTAAAAAAACTGACATGATTGTTTTTCATACTTATGACCATTCTAGCACCCCCAGGATCACACAATCAAATTTCAGACTCCTGGCAACCGATACAGTGATTCACTTAACAGTTGTGGCAAGGAAGGTCATAAAATGGAGCAACATTCACTTAACAAATGTCTTGCTTAGCAACAGAAATGTTGGGCCCCTAAGTCAAGGGCTACCTGTCCAAAAGTGAGGCAGCCCAATATCATGTAAGACATAAAAAGCAAAATAAAAGTTAGTTATGGCATTATGAACATGTACAACCGATTCTGTTCTTTATTCTGAAATTCTTCTATAAAACACTCACCATTGGAAACAGCTGGTTCCTCGGGAGTTCTCCCATAGTGTGCCATTAGCTTAAGCTTAGTTTCCTGCTTTTTGTGTTTTTTGCCGACATAGTGTTGTTTTGCCATCAGTGGATTATTGAATGTAGCATGGCAGAGACTGCAGAATTTGTCTGGGTCAGAAGTGTTTTGATTCTCTTCATTAGTGGACACAGTGGTGGGAAGAAGATTAGTAGGCTCTTTCTGAATGGATAAAGCTGCTACAAATATAACCCAAAAGATAAAAAAACAAAAAGTTAGAGGAAAGATAAAAGCATATTTTCACAAAACCAGAACTATCCTCACAAGGCCGGAAATTTCCTTTCTTTTCTGCATAAAGGTTGAATGTTCTTAGCACATGCACATGTATATGGATTAAAAAACAAATAATCTGAAATGGCAAAATGATCAAGGATATGTATTTTGTGTGCTTCCATCAGGCATTTTACCATTGTGTTTCATCAAACTTGGGACATCGTATGCAAATTCTCAACTTAATATATATATGCTCTTGAACCTTACTATGTAGAGGACAGGGACTGCTGAATAGTGTTTGTACTATAATGTATATAAACCCTAGACTATTCTGATGAGAGGGTTTTTTTTCCCCACAATGCCAGGAGAGAACTCCTCTGTACCTTCCTGATCATACCTTCTGTTTTAGGAGACTGCTGCTTCAGTTTCAAATTCTTGGCATGAGTCTTGCCTAAGTAGTGAGAATTAGCCACAACAGGTGAAGAAAAGGTCATGTTACAGATGGGACAGCATTTGTTCCTGTCTTCACCGTTACTGCTCTGTTGCTTGTAAAAAGGAACACAGACATATATTGGGATTGAAGGGACAAATGGAAAGCATATCAAAATGTCCCATGTTCAGAAACTGGAACTTAAATGAAACTGTTAGCACCACTCTTTACTAAACATTGTCCTCTTTACTTAAAGCAAGACAGTGAAGTTAGCACAGAATTATTCAAGTAAGGCCTAATATGTTGAAGAATGGAAATAATTTACTAGTAGGATCTTATCATTAAACAAATGATGTCATCAGAGCGCTTTAGTTTAAAATAGGTTTATATGTTTCTGTAACAATATTAATTCACAATTGTCTCTGAATTGTATCGTTTCCCCCAAAATAAGACCCTGTCTTATTTTTTTTGAACCCAGAAATAAGGGCTTGGCCTTATTTTTGGGGAGGTCTTATTGTTTTGGGGCGCATGGAGCAAGACGGGGCTCCTTTTGCCGTCTTACCCGATTTCCAGCTGTCTCCCTAACCCTAACCAGAGGAAATGGCGGGGACTGGCTGCGCATACATTTAAACATTTTTGGGGAGGGTTTATTTTAGCGCATGCGCTCAAAAAGCCCGATTGGGCTTATTATCAGGGGATGTCTTATTTTTGGGGAAACAGAGTAGTCTTCCAATAAGCTTCTTAAATTTATTTTCATTGAAGACTGGATTCAATGTTTTTACAATAATGCCCAATGTCAAAAATTATCTCTGGAACATTGTACTATTGGCCAACACTTGCTGCACTGAATGCACCCGACAGATTTTTTATTTTAATAAATGTATGATGTGCTTATTCTTCTTTGGACTTCTGGTATTACCTGCTCTGTATCCAGCTTTATTTTTTTATTCTGACAGAATTCCTCTTCCCCATGGATAGACATGTATCTCCGAACTTTGTTTGCATGCTTCTTACTCTGAAGGAAGATAACAGGGGACAAGAAGACTAAGCACACCTATGAGCTTTTATACACATATCAACAATTTCAACAGCTACTTCTAGTTTAAACCTCACCTGATAATGAGCAAGCTTCTGGGATTCAGAGATGAGCACTGCGCTACATACTTTGCACTGGGTGTCAGTGAAGATGTGGCTATTTTCTTTGATCAGTTGATCCACTGTAAAAGGCAAGAAGAACATTAAATATGAATGTGAACATGTGTAAATAATTTAAAAACTACGAATTCTTGCAGTCACCAAGCAATCTTCATGGACTTTTCCAGAATAACACAGAACTCAAATATTCTTTGCTTTCTGACAAATATGAGTTAGACGTTCCAAAATGACTATTTTATTGCCTTAATCAGACAAAAAGCAAATACTTTTTGAGAAAAAATATTTTATTCATTACATTTAACTCAACAAAACAAAAAATAGTATCCTTGATGTTGGGCTTGACTCCTGGTGACTTCATGTTCCTATAGTTCTTGGTAACAATCTAGAAATAGATTGCCATTGCCTTCTCTTCCACTTGTAGAGAAAGTAATTTTAAGACAGCACAATTAGAGTCTACGTTTCTTTCAACAATTGATCCACATTCATTTTAAATATAATGTCAATGCTTCCATTAATCTTCTGTTAAAAAAATAACCTGGTCAATGGAAGTTTTTCTGTAAGAAACTATAGTTCTAGCATTGTTTCTGGCTTATAAATCTTCAACATTTAACATTTCTCATTGTGTCAAGAAGATAAAGAACCATTTTATTGGCTGTTTTGGCAATATATGGCATGTAATGGCAGTGTAAATATGTAATTATCCTACACCAAGTAACTGCTATGTATGCATGGATTAAGACGACTAAAAAAATATGTGTGAATAGAGAATCACATCTATCATTGATCTGCAATTCTGTACAAACACACCCCATTTTACAAACTCCAGCAAATCATTACACTGACACAACAAATTACAAATACTGCTCTTAACAGCATTAGAAAAAAATCTCATTTGAATTATTACTTATCAATAGTAGAACAGAGTAAGAATTACCCTCAAATAACAAGCATTTGTGGTAATTTTATGTTAAGAGGTTTATTGTAGAATACGTGTTGTAGATAGTTTGCTTTGTCTTTTTTGTTTTTATAAAGATTATGGAAGCCACAGAACTGTGGAACACATGATGCTGATTTCTTATGCTGTTCATGACATTTCTGTGCAAGAATCTATTTAATAGAAAAGATTCATACCTAATACTGGTAATTGGGAACAGCTTTTCTAATCCTGCTGACAACCGTTACCTAATAAACATTCCAACAGCTTGTAATAATGTTTAGTGAAAGTTCATCAACTGTATCCCTTTCCAGTTTAGATTTGAACATTCTCCTTACCTGTTTTTAAACTTTGGAAGAGTCTGAAGCTCAACATAAGGAACTAGCTATACATTATTAATTCAGACAGAAAATATAAGCTATTTGGGGACACAAATTCTAAGATTGCCATTACTACATGTGCAAATAAATCCACATTACTGTACATTTGATAACATAAAAATTCTCTACTATTTGTCACAAAGGGTCCGGCTCTTCTCTGACAAAATCCCATTTTGCCTCCTTATTCTATCTTCAAAAATTTTCTAACGTCCAGTGCAAGGTCAGAAATAAAATCTGTCCTTATCCATTTTGATTTAAGATGAGCATGAGAACTAGAAAGTATATATTCATGGCTGAGATTCAGAGGAACTATTTATAAGAGATATTATCTTTCCTGAAGATGTCATTTTAGGTAAGATAGTGTTGAAGATCTCTTACTAACTTATTGACAGAGAAGGTAAACTGGATCTACTGAAATGTTCTGATCATTAAGACAAATTCGTAGGCTTAAAATTCCTTTTTATTTGTAACCAGCACACCGAATTTAAATTCTATCAAAAATAAGATCAATCCAATAATCTGCTCATTAGATGTAGAACTGTTAAATTCACACTTTAAATTGTGTTCCAAAGTGGACCAGTATGTCTATCACAGATTAAAAGAAGTGAGACAACTTCTGGTGTTCTAAAATTATTACAAAGTCTGCAAGTGTTTCTGTTCTTTCTTATTATCAAATGTATATCAATAGACCTTGATGACTTTATAGAAGCTTCAAATCTACTGGAGCATAGTTCCTAGATGGAAAAAAGGAAAGTAATACCCTTCCAGGTATTGAATTACAATGACCAACATCCCTCATCATTTATCATGCTGGCTCGATTGCTACAGTAAGAGTCAATATTTCAGGTGTACTTAAAAGATCTCATATTCTCAATCTTAATTTAGACAATGATGATTTAACTGATTTTATGCTATAATTTTCACAGCCCTATGCTTTGGGGGAAAAAATTAACTAAAACTAAAGACAACCTGCAATCTTTTATTTTCAAGGGCCCAACTCATTTTACTGATTAAATAACAAATGGTACTATGTTAATTTAGATAAACAAAATGCAGAAAATCTATAGGATTATGCAGGCACATATTAAAGGTATAGGTATTTAATATATACTTAGTACCACAGATGAAATTAACCAATGTGATTCTGTGCAAACTACAGAAGGTAATTTAAGAAGTGAGATTAAAAAGGCTTATTTAAAAGATTATGCCCATAGGATTCTAGTTGAACATTTATTTATTAAAAATTTTTTGCTGTCCATCTCCCCTGTAAGGTAACTTTGGGCAGCTTACAGGTTATAAAAAAAGGAAAAATAGTTAAAAGATTAAAACAATACAGAATTAAAATATTATTAAGAACTAAACTATAATATGGATTAACAGAACTCGCTATATGAGTACATTCTTGGGAGAGAATTTCTCTTAAATGATAAACTATAAGACTGTTACAAAATATGATACAAAACTGCTCTTCACGTTGGTGCTTATATTAAAAATGATAGAGAATATCAGTGATGCGCTAACTCTAATTCTGAACAAAGTAACTGCACAGTCCACTTACGGTTACTCTCCCCAGCAGCTTTCTGAGACTGCAGAGGGAACAGTATGCTCTTCCTATCTAATTAGCTAATGACGAGAAGGATTGGGGTGACATGATAGCAGTCTTCCAGTACTTAAGGGGCTATCACAGAGAAGAGGGGATCAATCTATTCTTCAAAGTACTTGAGGGTAGGACAAAAAGTAATCACAGCTTATCGAAGAAAGATTCAACCTAGAATTTAGGGAAAAGCTCCTGTCAGCTAGAAGAATTAGTTAGGGGAATGGCTTAGCTCCAAAATTGTGAGTGCTTCTTCACTGGAGGTTTTTAAGACTGGCAATCATTTGTCTGAAATGGTATAGGGTCCCTGCTCGAGGGGATTGGACTAGAAGACCTCCAAGGTCCCTTCCAACTGTTACTCTCTATTTTATGATACCAACAGGACAAAAATAATTGGCTAGGGGGAGCTTAGTATAATATAAATAATATTTTAATAACTGAACAGATAACCACATTTTGCCTTTCTTAGTGCAAAGAAGCATGCCCATATAAAGATAAGAATACGTATATAACTAAATATCTAAGTAGCACAGTAAACAAAATAAAATGAATAGACTAGGAAAAAGTACCTTTCTGGTCACCAAAAGATGAACCCAACAACCCCTTCCAGGTAGAAGGCAATTTGTAGACTTTTTCCTGTCCTGTAGAAGAAAGCTGTTGTCTTTCAATTGCATATACTGATTTCGGTTGACTATAGTTCCATTTTGAATAAATTTTAAGAAGTTTTCTACACACAACAAAAATTAGAAAACCAAACTATGTTTAAATAGTTAGCAAATACATTATAGCTAACTGATGGTCCCATAAGTTCTTAAATTGACTCTGTTTCTTTCCTCTTTTATAAGATAGGACTGTCAGGTCTATCTTTCAGTAACAACAAAGATAGTTCATAATTAAGTCCTACTACTTTCTTGATCACTGAAGATGAAGCCAATAGAACAGGGATGTAGTACACATTCCTATGGAGTGAGTAGAGTTTAAAGTATCTTCTGTAGCAGCATTTACCCGAAGGCTCAAACTTGTCTATTTTATGTTAAATGACTATCTGCTTCAGCTATTGTCCTACAAATAGTGATCAGCACTGGTAGCTAATGGAATGTGACTCTACAGGAATACACTATCATACTATATCCAGTAGGTGAATTCATTGCTTTCTTCTTCCTTAACTCCTTCTCTCTGGTTTTGAAGGTGAGTGAAGGCAAAAACTTCTCCCTTATTTTTCTTGTCAATTAAAGAGCTTGCCTCCACCAAGCAGATACTAATACCCACTTGTATCTGCATGTGGGCTCCATGATGCAACTGAAATTAAAAAAAATTTTTTTTTGCAATTGTCCATCCACTTGGAAAATGATGGCATTAATTTGAGGAACATTTTCTTTGGACCTTAACTTCTCTATCTTTGGAAGCATGTTTTGTTAGTAGACCTGAGAACTCCAGCAACTGTTTCCCTACCCTGCTTTTTGCTCATATAACGTTTAAGGTGAGATCTCTAGGCCAAAAGGATGAAATTGGTCTTCTTTAACACCTTCACAAGGGCTGTTTTCTATTAGAATGGAATTAACAGATATTCCAAATATCTTTTTTTTAAACCAATCAATGTTTAATTGAGTAGTAGGTTCCTGGTTGGTTAATGCCTGAGATGCAGAATCAGCAATGCACTCCCAAAGCCACTGAAAATATTAGTGTAATCCAATGTTCACCTAGATCACTTGTGGAGAATGAGAGAGGGTGCCAGAAGGTTGCTTTAGTTTAAGAGACCTGGCACTTGTCCACTGCTCACCTGCTACCTGAAGGCTCCTCTGATTGATGCAACTGTGAGTGCTCGAATCAGCTCAAATATAGATCTATAAAGTTATAAAATTATTTTTGCCCCAGCATTCTCGTACTTTAATTCTTAGTCTCCAAATGGCTTTTCTACTGTGGCTGTTTTTTGGTGTGCTCATCTACTGTACTTGCCAAAGTCCTTCCCATTGCAGTGTTGGTACCAAATGTTTATAATTTGTGAAGCTTCAGCTGTGACTTGAATTTTTTCCTTTCCTGGGTTTTTTTCCCCCTTGCAGTCCTCAAAATAAGACTGAGAAAAGCCACTGCTCCTTCTAGCCAACAAAACTAAGGACTGAAATGAAGGAGTTTCCTCCATAACATAGGAAGAAGTCTTAAGATCCTCCTAGAAGAGGTGGAGTGAAATCTTCCCTATCAGCTCCATCTTTGGTAACCAAGAAAGATGTATTTAAAACATATCCGTAGCATTAAATGCATCATTTAAAGAGATGAAAATATTTCTAGGCTGAAAATTGGCAACCCTAATAAAAAAGTTCAAGGTTTGATGAAAACTGAGAAAACATAGCATCAGGTACAACTAAACCTTTAAATTTCTGCATTTACTGCATCACTGCATAATTACTATCTTCCTACAAATTGCTTGTATTCTATTCAGGGTGAATTTGATTTAAATCGAGTCGATTTAAATTATGATTTAAATCATGATTTAAATCACTAGTAAAAAGACTTGATTTAAATCAATTCGATTTAAATCATAATTTTTAAAGAGCAACTGTCATCTCTGCTACTCCTTTGACCCACTGTTGACTCACCGATAGTCCCAGTGTTGCAGAATATATAGCCTTGTGCTACATAACTAAGCTCCATTTCATGCTGAATAAACTAAATTATTTATGTATCTTAAATAAAAAACTATCTTACGATAGATTTTTACCCCAAAAGTTTTTTATTAAAATAAATTCAATAAAAATAAAAAAATCCGATTTAAATAAAAAAAATCCGATTTTTTTTATTTTTTTTTAAAAAAAATCATTGATTTTTATCCACCCTGATTCATTATTTTTCCCACTTAAGTTCCTGATAACATGGCTTTTACTGTGACCAACGTATTTAATTACCATAATCATCCATCCATCCTTTTTTGATCTGGTACCAACTCTACACTTACTGAGTTTGATTCTAATATGTGATGAAAGATTAAATGAAAGTCTTGGCCCTGAAAAGGTTGCCTATTCCAGATTTTTATGTTATCTAAATCCAATCTAATCCAATCCATGGTGTTCTAGAATAGGCAATGTACCCATAGAATTGTCAGGCAAGGGACAAAATCTAGCTATTACTACATATGCTTAACTATTATTGGATGTGCCCTCACTACTGATGTGATGTAAAGAGATTTCCTAGTAAGATATTAGCATCCTTCTATAAGCCTGCAAGGAAATCTAGAACATTGGCAGGAAAAATCATCTGGAGCAATACTATTTCTCTACCAGGTAATAAGCCTCTTAGGTTCTCAGAAATCACCCTTTCAATGTAACGCTTTCAGTTTCTAATATATGACCTGTTAAATATCTATCATACATTTCTTTAGCATGCCCTTCCTCAACACAGTGTATCTCCCCAATGTGTTGTAATTTGATTTATTTGATATATAATGAGCAACAGTTTGGGGAAAACTCTTTTAGAATTTCAACTCTGGAAGTCCAGTTTATATGTATAATGAGGGAGGCAATATATCAAGTAGGATAAAATCCAATACCAGGAGTAAATCACTGGCAAAAGTCAACAAGCCACACAAAATTAACTCACTGCGCTGTATTGATTTAGAAACGATTATAAATACACGATGCAGTTTTTAATCCTTTGTGTTTGGACTATTAATCCTTGTTAGAATCAGTATCATGGCCATTATTCTCTGGAGATGAAGTTTCACAGGTTCACTCTTCTGGAAGATTCCAGGTGGAGGGGGGACCCAATAAACCAGAGGTCTTAAAGCTGCCAAGTTTGAAGACCCTCCGCAATAAACCCACACAGGGAAAGAACATTTTTTTCTCTCACCACACCACTAAATTCCCGGAGACACTAATTCTAAAGTTGTCGACCGAGAGGCGAGCGCCGTTTCCCTACAGCACAACGGAAACGGAGAACTCCTACACCATCTTATTAACAAGTAACGGGGTTTAGCGCGCGCTTTCGCAAGCTTGGGACTCAAAAAAACCCGTCCAGATTCCCGACTGATTTTCCTTTCAATCTCAAAGCGTCCTCCAACTTCGCGTCTGTCGGGCTGTCGCCGGTAACGAATTCAAACGAAGAAGTCTCCGGAGCTCTCGGCTTGGCAAGAGCTGGAAATGTCGAAGCACCTTCGGGAGGAGGCAGAGAGAGAGGAGGAGGAGGAGGGAGGGAGGGGGGAAAGTAACGTTTTGAGCGGCGCTCGTTCTGCCACGTGATGAGCGAGGGGGGAGGATCAGCCACCGGTCTCAATCCTTGAAGCCCCGCCTGAGAGCTGCGGGGAGAAGGGTAAATGGCCAACATCCCCAGTCCTAATTTTTGACGCAATACCGCACGCTTATGGGAACAAGGTAGGACGATAAACTACAAGGCCACCGGTCGTCCGCAACAGCACGGCAGAAACACCTCAGCCTCACCTGCCTCTTTTCCCACCGGCAAGGCTGAAGCGTCCCCGTTGCTACCCGCTTCGTCCGCCATCTTCTTCCAGCGTCGCCGCCCCCGAAGTGTCGGGTCTTCTCCCACAACTCCGAAATATCGCGAGAGGTCCCGAACCCCAAGGCGCATTACAGTAACGCGAGAGGCCCGCTTCCTTAATCGGCACGTCGAAAAGTGGGAAGTCTCCGTTCTCGCGATGCTTCATTTCAAAGCCTGGAGGGGGAGGAATAAGAACACGTGACTAAAGCTGAGTCTACAAGTGCCCGGAGATGGGCGGGCGTTAGGTGGTGACGGAAGTCTCGATTGCCGTTAACTCGGCGCAGTCGACCGTTTTAAAGTTCCTCAGAAAGGTTTATGTTTCGCGCCATGCGTGAAAGGACTACACAATGCATTTGGGTTGTATGTCTTAAAACGTGCAATCTCACGTCCGTCGGAATCCTTGTGGCAATTGTGCCGACAATCTGAAACCCTTGCGGGAGTGAAAAAAAAAACAAAACAAAACCGATATAACCCCATGTCATATTTAAAAAACAAGCACGGGAGGCGAGAAATAAATGCTGTTAAATGAGGATGGGAAGAACAATGGCGAGTTGCATTCAAGGGCAATGCTTGGCCAGAATCCTACAAGACTCCTTCAGAATTGGGAGGGAAGCGAGGGAAGAAAAAAAAAAACTTGGGAGGAAAAATTAGCCGCTCAGCCGTGTCGCGCCTACAGCACCGTAAACACTTTACTGAGTTGCAAAGAGGAAGGTTACAAAGGAGAACAAATTCAAACTGTCTGCCTCCAGTTTCAGCGCCAACGATTGGAGCCAGGCTCGAAGGGGACACTTCTCTTCCCCCCCACCCCCAACGCCCCGCCCGGAGGAGAAGGCGACCCGAGTTCCCGCGCGCTCACGGCGCACGCGCTCCTCACGTGACCTTTCCCGCAGCGCGCGCGCGCGCGAACGAACGAGTGCCCTTCATCTTAGCTACGGGACTTGAAGCTCCCGGAGCCAACATGAATGTGGGCAAAAGGCCCGCTGTTGGCTCCGTTTGAATCTGCCGGCGAGAAGAAGCGAAGAGTCCAGGACTTGCCGTTGTCTCCTGGCAGAGTTGGATAGTTGGAGGGAAACGGGGTGTGGGGAGTGACATAGACCCGGTGTGGGGAGGGACTGGGCCGGTTGAGTACAGTAATCCCGACCCCTCGCCAAATTCGCTTGACAAATCTCTTTCGGATCTGTGGTGTGAAATCTCCCTCCATCTCGGGATCTTCTTCTCCCAGGACTGGGTTGTCCCTCCAGAGTGAATCCTGTGAGCCTGCCTTTTTTTTTCCTCCTGTTTTTTTCTTTTTGGAATTGGCGCTCTTTTTAGTTCACTTTTTCCGCCCAAAGCAGGACGGGGAAGTAAGTTTATAGGGATGCGTGGGAGGGGTGGGGTGGGGGTGGGGGTCGCTGACGCAGAAATCGTCAGAAAAGGCTTCCCATAGGACGAAGATATGTGTGGTCTGTATGAATTTGATGTAAAGGCACAGCTGTGACAGTCCTTTCGGTTATGAGGAACCCCAAGGGTAGTAAGATGGTCACTTTTAAGTCAAATTGGTTCATTCGATTTAAAAGTCACGTCCTTTCGGCCCTTGCCTTGCTTATTATTTAATCTTTTTCGTTTCGATAGTTTTTCTGGCGCTGGTGTGCTGCTACTTGCTTTTCACATTCCTGTGGGGAAAAAATCTTGTGTGCCGTTTTTCTGGTAACTTGCAGCATTTTCATACTATCCCGCCGCCATGATAAAAAGCCCGTTTTCACTAACTTTTATTTTTGGAACAAGGATGGTGGGATAACTCTAGGAAGTTCCTATATTGTAAACTATTAGTGAGGAAGATTATCCTGCAACTGAAGTCATTTTAAAGATGTCTGTTCCCAGTTTAATGTAGTTAGCCAAAGAGGATAGAACTTTCTGCCTGTCTAATATCTTTATGTAAAAAGAGGAATAAAACTCATTATTTGTGGCCTTATTTGCACTTGCAGTCCTTCAGACTATATTGTACAAAAATACTAAACAAAGCATCCCATAGGTGTTTATAACTGGGTAACTTTTAGATATTTTAAAATATTCTCTTAAGTTTTGGTTTTAATACCACAACAGTAGCACTTTCATTAGTATCTCTTTCCAGATGTTTTCCACTTTGTTTACATGCTGTTGTATGTCATAATTGTAAATACTGGTAGTACTATGTTCAAACAATGTTTAAAATTGAATGCAGGCAATGATTTTGTTGAATGTATCTTGGTTGCTCTTTGATTTTCAATAATGGGAAAATTTTGATTTGGATCTTGATTGAATGGAAAAGTTCTTCGTTTTTTTTTCTTCTGTTTCTGGAGTTAAGGTAGGTGGGAGGACCTAGACAACTTCGGTTGATTGTAAAAAAGCGAAACACCACCAAAGTTTATTAGTAATTGAATGAATTATTTATTCATTTATTTGTCAAATTTAGATACCACCTATTTCACAGAGTGACTGAATGGGAGAACTTTAGGAAATTCCAGAACTATGGGCTAGACTTGGGAGTTGAAGCAGGAAATTAGAAACTATTTGTGTATTTTTGATACTTCCCAGTGGACTGCAAAACTGCTGTATGAGTTGTTTTGGAGATGACGAGAGAGGACCTAGGAAATACATGATGTAATAATGCATACATATATAAAATGTGTATCTATGTGTGTGTCTATATAACATATTTATAAAAATAAATAATTATAAAATATTTATATATAGTATAGCATGTAAAAATATATACAGTTAGTGCATGACTTACAACTACAATTCAGGCCAAAATTTCTGTTGCTAAGCAAGACATTTGTTAAGTCCCATTTCACGACCTTTCTTCCCACAGTTGTTAAGTGAATCACTGCAGTTGTTAAGTTAATAACATGGTTGTTAACTGAAATTGGCTTCCCCATTGACCTTTGCTTGTCAAAGGGTCACAAAAGGTGATCACATGACTCTGGAATACTGTAACTGATCCAGCAGTTTGAAAGTGGGTGACCATGAATAGATAGATGGGTACCACTTCAATGGGCAGGGTTAGTGGGGACATGAAAGTGCCCCCAACTGGGTGTCCTCCAGGCAATGGTGATGTTATCGGCTAATCCTTTCAACCCAAACTGCTTCGGTGTTCCCGACAGGACTGTAGTACTGTAGTTGCCAAGTGTCTGAATTTTGATCATGTGATCATGGGAGTGCTGTACCAGCCATAAGTCACCTTTTCAGTAGCATTATAGCTTTGAATAGTCATTAAATGAACTGTTGTAAGTTGAGGACTACCTGTACACAGAACAAACCTGCCTGCAACGGCATCATAGAAGGTCCCAGAAGGCAGGAAAAGGTTCGTTTACAGGGCATCACATAAGTATACCTTGCAGTACCATTGCACATTGGGAGGCTGAGCATACACCATTTTGATGCTACCCTGTCCTGTCTGTTTGCTGATTTCATATTTAGTTTGTGGTGGTCTTCCTTTAGTAGTGCCTAATACTGTATTGTATGAAATTAAGCGTAAGCATGAATGTGCATGTTTTTGGACTAATGAATAGCCTCTTGGAATGTATCCTGTTTGTCAAGACAGGACCACCATATATAATATCTGTTGATCATTGAATTATTTCTATTGAGCAAAAAAGCCAATTATTTCCATTGAGGAAAACAATTTTTTTTTCAAAAATTGGTGAAGTATGTCCAGTTACTAATTGACAAAATGATCCTTAAAAGTCAAAGACAAAAAAAACTTTTTATGGCTCAGATACATTATAAAAAGACATTTCCACTTAATAAGATCAGAAAATGCATAGAAATTTTGTGATTAGTAAAAACATTATTTGAAAGTGTCAATGAATGCAGGGAAAACAAAGAAATTGGAAAGGTCAGAATTAGCAATGAAATATTCCAAGGTGATTTATTTATTTTAGCAATGATACTTTTTACAGATAATTTAAGCAGAATCAAATACAAGTATCAAATGTCCCCAAAAAATTTTTTTGGCATATATATATTCATGGATAACCTTAAAACATTTGCAAAATAAAAAGTAGAACTTGAGTCTCTATAGTAACCATGTATTCACTGAGGATGGTGAAATGCAATTCAGTGTAGATAAGTGTGCTTAGTAATGGAAGACAACAAAATTGTTGAAGAAGATAGATTACAGCTAATGAATGGTAATACTATAAGACAGTGGTCACCAAATGGTGGTCCCTGGACCACTGGTGGTCCGTGAGAAAATTTTGGTGGTCTGCAGAAAAATTATTTGCATTTTTTATATTGCACTAAATGAGGGGTCTTGAAACTACGAACCCTGGGCCGGATACATGCAATGAACAGTTGTGTTGCTGCAGAGAGTCTCCCCCTTTGGAGTCTTTTTGTGTGGGTCAGAGGGGGGCAGAAATTCCGACTTGGAGTCTGCTTCAGCCTCCTGGTGTGGGGCTTTGGGTGAAGACTGGAGAGAAGTGCTGCTGGTGGCGAAGAGCCAAAGGGCCTTGTTTCAGTGGGACTGCATCATGACCTGGAACTGGCTGACCATCTCAGTCCTCTGAGCCTCCAGGCGCCCGTACCTGGCCTTGCACTACTGCAGGTCTTCCCTCTGCTTGGAAAGCCTATGCTCGTAGTCCTGAGTGAAGTGCTTCTGCTGAGCCTCCTCCTCAGTCAGATCCAGTTTGAACTGAGCCAGCTGTTTTGCCAACTCTTTCCCATGGTGGCTGCTTAGCTCCAACAACTGCTTCCTTTTGGGGCCCTAAGGAGCCTGGGCGGGCAGGGGAGGAGTGGCTGGGAGGGGAGGGGTGAGTAGAGGCTGTTGAGGTGCCCCTTGACATGAGTGACATTGAGTTGACCATGCCCACCCAGTCACATGACCACCTAGCCACGCCCACTCAGCCGGTCATTAGGTAGATCATATTAGTGGTCCACAGGATTTAAAATTATGAATTTAGTGGTCCCCGAGGTCCGAAAGGTTGGGGACCCCTGCTATAAGACAATTGATGTCAGAAGGAAGATATAAATATTTAGAATTAATGTAGACCTTTGATTTACATGACTGAGTTAAGAAAATACTAGCTCTAATTATATAAGATGAATCTGAAAAATTTAAATGCAGGAAACATAATTAAACCCATAAACACTCGGGCTGCTCCTAT